CTTTGCTCTGTCCCTTGCCCTTGCTCCTGCACTCTTTGAAAGGCATGGCACAATATTTAGCCCTTGATGTTTTGTACAGCTTTAATATATGCTTATAAAAAATAAGATCATCTATATCAGAACCCCAGTTCTAGGACTGGAACTCTGATTGGTGAGGGATTTCTATATCCTATCAAAACAGCTCAAATTTTAGAACATAAGAAGGACCACAGTAGGTCAGACCAATGGTCCGTCTAGCTCAGTATCCTGTCTTCTGACAGTGGCTGGTGCCAGATATTTCAGAGGGAATGAATTAATAGCTACTGATGGACCGATACTCCATGAATTTATCTAGTTCTTTTTTTGAACCCCATAATAATTTTGGCCTTCACAACATCCCTGGCAATGAGTGTGTTTTGTGAATAAGTACTTCTTTTTGTTTGTTTTAAATTTGCTGCCTATTAATTTAATTGGATGACCATAGTTCTTGTGTTATAGTCTGCATACAGGTTTAAGACTAGACATCTACAACTAGACAGTTGAAAAACTGCCATCAAAACAGTTTTCAATCAAAATATTTTTTTGATTGAACCAATCTTTTTGTCAAATTACATAGATTTTGATGAAATTTTATTTTGAACACAACTGGAAAAGCTATTCTGAAATTGTCCCAAAAGGTTGTTTCACTATTGTTTTACTATTTTCTAAATGGTAAGTTTCAATGGTGTTCCTTTGACTTTTTGTTTAGTATATAAAATAAAATAAATTTCAAAAGTAAAAAGAAAGAAAAATGATGTAAATCAAAAATTATTTCATTTGACCCCAAATGAAAATCTTTTTGGAATTTTGTTTTGCATTTTTAAATTTTAGTTGTGTGTGTGTTGTGGGGGGGGGTGTCTTTTCATCTCAATCTGAAAATAAATTGAAATCTCACTTTTTTTTTCCAGAATAGAACATCCATTTCCTGACCCATTGTATTTAAACCACCTAGTTCCCTTTAGATGACCCTTGGATTTAACCACCTTTTCCCCTGCCATTTGAGTAAAAAATACCTGCCTCTCAGAGGAAGTAGACATTTGGGGCTAGATTGAAGCTTATAAACTAGAGGTTTGTTTTGTTTTTTTACTGCATTACACTGGGACTTAGGCAAAATTTCTCCTCAGCTACCGATGAAAAGGTGAACGAGCATCTGCTACAATGTGTACTTCTTGGGACCTGCAGGAAGAATTCTGGTTTCTGTGAAAGAGTCACAGCGTAACCCAAAGAGTGAAGTGTGCACTTTGTTCAACGCCTGGGGAACTCAAATCTGCTATCCAACCATCCTACCAGGTAACTAGCACTCACAGGGCACTAGCAGGGAGCAGTACCTATGTCACCCAATGGACAGCAACCAGCCCCTGTGCAGAGGGTGCAAGGTAGGGAGAGGGCTCCTCCCACTCTCCCCCTCTTCTCTTCCACCCAAAAAATATTGGGCACAGTTGAGCCTTTGTAGTTGTTTCTATTTAGGTCTCTTAGTTGTTAATGCTATTAAATCATTAGGATGATGCCATACACTAGACAAATGCTGCTGGAAATGGGCTAGAATGAGTAGGAAACTCGAGCACTGAAATAGAGGGCAGCCTTTGAACAAACAAAACCAGAAATGGTACTCCAGAGGGCAGCACCATTCTATTAAATAACACACACTACTAAGTCATAAACCTATTCATTGCAACTCCTGTTTTTTTAACTTTATTATGAAGTAGATCTGTAAAATCATTAAGGTGTGCACAACTTTAGAATATTTAGATTAAAGTAAATTGACTTGAGTTGAAAAGCTGAAATCTATGCCTTTTAATATGCAATATAGCTTGATAGTACTTGATAGTAGAAATCTTGTTAGCTAGACTGTACTGCTGAGACTGTATGGGGATGTAAAGACAGCACTGTAGTTGAAGACCCCGTTAAGTACCCCTGTGGATGAAGCTCTTTCACTGTTTACATTATACTGTGCACCCTTTTTTCCCTCCTAGGGTTGTAAAAGTTTTAGAGGTGTATGCGTATATTTTTATTGAAAGTCAGACTGACAGCATTTCAAACTGAAGCCTTCCACTTATCCATAGAACACACACAAAATAGAATATGGTAGTGCAAGATTTTCCTCACCAAAATTAGTCAGAGTGAGAGGGTAGGTTATTCTCCTTGTGCCAATTAAAGCATTGAGCTCTCTTAAGACTGCGCACAAGGATACCCATGCAATGGCCCAGGGACAAGGCGAGAGAGAAAGGGGACAGGAACCAACATCACATCACAATTGGAATCTGAGTGCCCAATCTCAGTTAAGAAGCTAATGTGGTCTGGTCACTCCAGTCCCTCTAAGACACTGACCTGCCCCAATCACTTCTGGTCCCTCCAAGTCAGGCTAAAGACACGATGGTAAAAACTCTGCATTGCTGTTGGCCAACCTGTGCCTGTTCTCTGATATTTGTTTTTTAATTTGCAAAAATGGCCTAATCAAAAAACCCCCAAAGGCCAGATTTATGCTGATTTACACTAGCTGAGACTCTATTCACTTAAATGGAACTATATAAATTGCAGGGTGAGGACTAATTTCCACTACTATTAATATCATAATTTCATGGCCTTTAAATGAACCATTTAAAAATTAATGTCTTCTATTATGAGAACACGAGAGACTGTAAAGGACACAATCAGATTTTATGTTCCTTAAACAGGTAGCTAGGCAACAAAATCTGGATCTAAGTGCCTAATTTTAGTCACTTCCACTTGAAAATTGTCTCTAAAGGTCTGTATCTCAGTTTCCTCAGCTATAGGATATTTATAGGTTTTTGCATCATAAAATGCTGATTCACTGAAATCCATAGGAATGATTCTGTCAAAATTCTGATGGAAACTAGGTAGGTTGTCAATGGAATCCTGCTTGTCAGGCAGGTTTATGATGAAAACATGTCTGGTTTGCTGCCAACTTGCCTGAACTTCACAGGTCTGTGGCTCCTAGGCAGTTTGGTCTCCTAGGCTTCCCATGTCCAAGCAGCAGGCCAAGGGTTCTGCTGAAGAGTCAGGGTTCCGGAGATTTCCAGGTCTCTGCCAGGTGGGCCACCTCACAGTCAGGGCTTCCAAACATCCTTGCTACGGGGCAGCCTAGATGCCCAGGGAACCTCAGTTCCTTGTTCAGCTCTGTCATTTAGTCCTTTTGAAAAGGCAATTTTGGAATTCCCATATCACAGGAAATGTCTCAATTTCATTTTTCATTCTATTCTGCAACCAATTTTATTGTTGTTGAAATTTTGGAACTTCCCACAAAATGGGATTCTCAGTTTCCAGCCAGGTCCAGATATTTACCTACCTCAAACTGGTGTTGTGAGGGTCAATTCATACTGGCTGAAGTGTGTGCTGAGATCCTTAGATAGAGGGTATCATATCAAAGTGTTAGTGATCCTTTCTTCTCAGAATACCCATGAAAACTCAAGACTCTAAAATAAACTGGGTCACTGGCCCAAATCAATCTAGATCAGTGGGGCACGAAAAGAGGGCATAAAAACCTTTTGTGCTTCCCAGACTCAAGCGGTCCAGACACATGGCTACATCAACACATTTAGCATTCTACACGTTGTCACATCTATGTAATATGATACTGTCTCCATCTTATTAAGCCAAATTATAAGGCAGAATGGTCATGTAAATTTAATCATAGAACCATACGATGAGGACAAACAAATTACTATCTAAGAGGAGGTTTGCTGCTCAATGAATGAGAAGAATCGTCTGTCTCAGCAACTAGCTATTTTCCAATCAAAGCCACAGAAACAAATGATTGTGTTACTTACTTCCCAAAGCCTTTCCTCTGTTTACAATAGGAATGACACTGGAACTACTGTTGTAACA